CCCCCCCAAACGCAACGATGATGCAACCAGCACCTATCCGTAAGGTACCTTTTCAAACCTGAAGGTAACTTGAGTTCCCCTATCAACTCCCGCACCGGCCAATCGGGTGCCTTGCCTCCCGCCCATCCAATTGCCATCCAGCCGCTCCACCTTTCCGTAGAACCGGCCTGCAGTTGCCACAGTTGTGTCATTGCTTCGATCACCTCATACGTTTGAGGTTGAGTAGCAGGTGTGGGGATTTTTGTCTGATTGATTGGTTGGTGTATACTTGGTTGCGGATGCAGTGGAGCACCTGGTGTGTGGTTGTGGAAGGATTGGCGGTTGGATGGGGTACCTACCGTTATGCGGCTGCTTCTGCTATCTTTGACGTAGCCCAGCCCAGGCGTTTGGGGTAATGGGTTGGTAGAGTTTCATGTGATTGTGTGGTGTGCTGTGGTGTGCTGTGGATTGTGGTAGGGCTGATTGAGGCTTTGGGGGTCCCACTCCAATTGCTTTCGTTTGTTGATGGGGGGAAGGGGAGGTGGGACATACGTAGCGTATGATGTTATTCTGGGGCCCCGGGCCCCGGGCCCCGGGGTTGATGTGAAAGTATGTGGTGTGAGGTGGTGTGGTGATGCATATGTACTGTACCGCACCTACCCGTGGGGGAAGGGATGGGCTGTACTGTATTGTATGAGTACTTCGAGGGATATCAGGTTGCCACTTCGGACTTTGGATGATGTAGGGGTTGTTTGCTTTGTTTCCCTGCTAGCTTGATGGGAGGCGAATTCTTGAGGTAGGTAACCTTGTAAGAATGTTTATGGTCAATAGCTGGAGTAACTTGGAAGCTGTTTAAGACTCTACTATACTTGCGATGTAACTCAGACCATGGTTGCTCTCGCACAATGGACTGTGTCTATGACCTTGGGATACATTCAAATTTTCTACTTACAGAGAACGCACCCTTCGTCTGCACCACCTTCAACGCCCGATGATTTGCCGTAGTAGCCTTGACGTCGATCCGCGCCTCACCCGCCGGAGGCATCATATGGCGACGTCAGCCCATGCTTCTCATCCGTGGCGTGCATCGCAACCAAGGCTCCCAACAAGCGCAATCCTTGAGGTGTTGTGCGGTATACTTTCACCGCTATCGTATCCTGATGTCTACTCCTGGGTACGGCTTATTCACCGTCGCGAGGCTGTCCGCGAACGGCCCTGGTCGGGCTGCTGGATGAAATAGCTCTACTGCTCGCCGAAGATGCAGACAGGGCTGAAGGTCATAAGGGTGCTGCGGTAGCCCTCGTGCCGAGGTTTTGGTAGGAGTTGCGTGACAACAGTCTAGCCTGTAGGTTATAGCCAAGGAAACAATTGGAAATATGGACAAGACGGCCCTAACCATGCGGTAGTATGAGAACAATGCTAACTCAGCCTGATCAAGGACATAAGAAGAAGGTGGGAATACTGCTCTAAGATGCGTGATGCTATTCAGACCTGCCCATGAGCCTTCAAAAGGCGGATGTGAAGCGGAGCGGAGGGGCGCCGGCAGTTCCATGGCGGGCCGCCGCCCTCTCCCAGAGATCTCCCGGCGGTTACATCATTGCATCTACAAAATCGACGGAAAGCAGAAAGCATGATCTACACCGGCTTGTTGTCGATCATATCCTTAGCATAACGCTACTACTCCCTTTCACCAACTCTCCGAAGACACAACCGACGAAACATGATCACCTCCATCCCCAGTCGACCGCCCCCGATCAATCGGTGCGGGTCTCCCCCATCATCGACAAGCACAGCAACCCACTTGGTCCCTGAGCACAGTACAGTCCAGCCCAAAGCCAATCAACCACCACTAATCAAACCATCAAACCGCAGTGGCTCGTGCCCTCGACCTCACATCCGGCCGCTTCTTCACCAAGCGTACAAAGGCTGCGATCCCAGCTTCCCCGTCCTAATCGAACACGGCCCCTCCTCCCAGCACCTCATCTTCTTTAACTTCAGCATCCGCCCAGACAAGCGCAACCTCCCGCCAGCCGGAAGCCGTCGTCGACCTCCTCACCAGCCACCACGACTGGCACTTCCCCACCGCGCAACACAACATACCGCCATCACCTTACAAGAATCCGGCCTCGACATCTCTCCCCTCCGGCGCCATTCGACGCCATACATAACCTAGAGCCACCCGCACACTTTCAACCACATCAACAAACCTCACCACCGTTTCCCGGCCACCACTACCCTCAATTATCTCGACCAAGGGATTCCAAGAAACCTTTTGATTGGGGGTTACACCAAACCAACCCTACCTCCCCAACCGCCGCGATCTCCCAAAAACCGAAAATCAACTTCAACCATCTCTCCTCCTGCATCCACCGCGTGCTTCCAAGCCCACGACTAGTTCACCGATAGAAAAGCCTCCAGAAGACCTCCTCGACAGCCCACCCCTGCTGGCGAAGAGTGCGGAGGGCGCGGACGGAGCCGCGCTATCGGCTGGCGCCGGAGTTGCGTCATGATTTGGGGCAGGGCAGGCCAGTTGGTTGATTAAGGGGGTGATAGTTGGCCGCACTGCCGGAGGTGTGGATTGTCATTCCCGGTGCGTCGATGATAAGGAATGGATGGGGCAGGGTGAGGGGCAGGGGCAGGGTGCAGGGGGCAGGGGGATGAAGAAGGTGAGTACCGTACCTAGGGTAGGGGTTCTTTCCCGAGAGGACGAGTAATACGTGATTCGAGAAGAGATTGAAGGAGCGGTATCGGTGGAGGTTTCTCGGCGTTGAGGGAAGTGGGGGAGGACATCATCCAAGGGGTTTCGTAGGGTCATGGCGCGTTGGGGGTGGGCCTATGAGAGGGCCGAAGTTGATTGGGTGGACAGTACAGTACATCGGACTATGTACTTGTACTATACATGGATACCCCGTACAGACTGCACACGACAGGCCCTATAGACGAAGTGGGCTGTCCTCCCACACTTATGATTCTGATCCCATGGGGATTGTAAGGGGTAAGGCGCTAATCAGCTCGTAGTACTCGTACTCGCAAAAAGCATCCCTGCAAGCCAACCCCGGTCTAGCCCATCCCGCTAAGACCGAGCTTGCATGCATGCATGTATGCATGTATGCATCTTATTTTCTTCTATATGGGATATCAGCGATAGTAAGTAGCTAGATACACAGGATACGCACGCCTCGACTCTTCAACTTGCACAGCAAGCTCTAGTTGCATTTAACCCTATGGATGATGCTGCGTGCACCTTGGACTTATTCTTATACTACGACAGGAGCCGTCCGCAACGACTAAGACAAGCACTAACTAACACCGACTAGACTAGCTAGCTCCACGCCACATCTCTTGGCATATACGTACGACGTTGTTCCAATCATGGCAAGTCGATTCGGAGCTGGAAGCTGATGACTATTGACACATTCTTTTCTTTTTTAGTTTCTTTTTTTTTATTCTCTTTTTTTTTTTTTTTTTTTTTTTTT